GCACCTGAGTTGACTTAAGCCATCCTAGGCATGGAAGATGCAAAGCAAACAGACAAGTACCAAGACACATGTAGAGACACACACACAAACACACAAACTACCTCTATTTGGGCTCCTGCTCTTAATTAGATATACATGGTCCTGGAAATTAAAATTGCAACTTTGACTTTCCATTCTTTCTATTATCCCTCAGATAGCATAGCTCCACTGTTGATTCTCTTCCTCACCACATGCAGCCAGTCCTATAAAGTCTATACTAAGAGGGTTTGTTATTAGGTATGCAACCAGCAGCACACAGAAAGCATTAAAAATTGTGTCTAGGGCTGGAGAGACAGCATGGCAGTTAAGAGCACTTGCTGTTCTTGCAGAGAACCTGGGTTCAGTTTCCAGCAATCACAGACAGCTTACAACTGTCTAGAACTCCAATTCCAGTGAATTCAGTGTACTCTTCTGGCACCTAGGGGCACAGGCATGCATACAATATACTTTACATTCAAGCAAAACACTCATACACATAAAGTAAAACTAAATCTTTAAACAAAATTAAACATAAAAACTGTGACTATATTAAACATGCAGACTTTTTTGCTCTTCCATTTACTTTCTAAACATCACATTGTAATAAATATTTATGTACCATTTATATTATAAATAGGTAGGTATTATAAATAATATATAGGTTATAAAACTATATGGGAGGTTAATATAGTTTCTATACAAACACTATACCATTTTATAAAAGGATCTTGGGCATCTATGAAAATTGATATTAAGGGAGAGGGACCTAAGAATCAATCCCCCACAGATACCAACACCAAGGAACAAACTAGAGTTTACCAACACAACACACAAAGGTCTATATGTACAGACATACTCCCATTTTCAGCATTATAAAACTCTTCCAACAACAAAGAAAGTTGAGACTAGAATGGAAATGGTTATAACACTAGAACCTTGTTCTGGTGGAAAACACAGCCATAACTCTATCTGGAACTAAAGCTGACAAAATGAAAATATTCTAACAGAAGGCAGTTTTGCCCTCACCATACTGTATGATGTTAGGTAATTGAGCTCTTTCCCCCACTGCTGTAATTACACAATGAAACCCCAGATGTCATTCACATACACAGAAGTCAGACAAAGGGTTGAGAAGAGATCCTTTCTTTATTTGCATTGCTAATAGCTTTTGAAAGGACAAGAAAAATTCTATATGGAGAACAATGGACATCCAAACATTCGTCTATGTTTAATAACAATATGTGGTAATCAACTAGCATTCTTGGAACTTGCCCAGCAACCAGTTTTGGCCCCCCTTTGATTACACAGAGCATGAGGCTAAAGCACAATCTCTAGTATGGGGCCCTGATAAGTTACTAACTTCCCACAACTCCAAGCTTTCCTTTCCTAGAAATTCTGCTTTTCCAGCTGCCATTCCACATGATGTACAATGGAGTACATGCTGTTCTGTTTCCCTTATTCCCACTAACCTAGGAAATTCAAAGTCATCCTTTGAACACACCTGCACAGTAGTACTCAGTTTGCAGGAGTGGATGGCTGTCTGCTACCCCTGATCAATAATGATCCAAATGAAAGACCTCCATTACCTCCGCATAGTGTAAGGCACTTGTCACAACATTAAGAATCAATCACTACTTGCTAAATTAGAAGTTTTAAATATATATGTATATATACATATATATATATAAGAACACTGAACTCTATTAGAATCTGCCACCTGATTTCTAAATATCAACATCACTATATAAAATACATAAAGACACTATATAAAAGACTATAGCAGTGAAGCCACACCCTTAAACCATCATTGTTCCTGCCTCTCTGAGAACATCCAGCCACAAGACACCTTTACCTCGTTCACCAACCCTACAGAAGGCCAGCATTCTGCCTCAGCTTCCTCTGCCACCTCTGCCAGAGGGCTTCCCTCAAATTCATAAGACTCCCTTCATGCCTTAGGACCATAGCCCAGATGCTCTCAGGTTTTCACTGGTTGTTACTCAATGACAACTGTAACAGCATTTCCCTCGTCCAATCTCTTACCCCTTGGTTATACTGTACCTATGAGAATCAGTCTACAAAGCCTTAATAGGATAAGACTCTATGTTGATCATTTTTCCCAGACCACAATGGCAGTTCTCCTTAAACTACCTACATATGCATTATACTTTTGAGTAAAAGGTTACAGATGCAATCTAACACACCCCAGGGTTCCAGGCAATGAAATAATCTGCAAAATTTTGCAGGTTCCAAAAGAAGTCTAATTCTAGATGCTGAATCAGGCTTAAGACTCCAGCAGGACCTAGATCTTGGTGTAATTTGTCCTTTGGGTGCCAATATTCTGGAATGGGCAGTCTCTTAGACACTTCCATCTTACCTTGTGTTTCTTTCATAAGAGTTGGTTGCTATGCGTAGACCTGGGCCAAAGGGCTTTGTTCTTTAGGAAATATAATTATCTTCTAATTTTGCTGGAAGAATCCCAGACACTAATGATTTAACACTGTTAAAAGTGCAGAAGAGCATCTAAGTCTAATCATGCTGTCAAATGATATGTTACCATCTGTGTAAGGAATGTACTTTTAAGGAGATGACAGCAAGAAACTTTATGGAATTAATTTCAGAGATGTATTGAAGAAGTGTTATTTTTGAGAACTGGGTTATATAGTCCAAAAGTCCCCCTCGTCTCTCAAGAAGGAAGGGCTGGTTATGTAGCTCAGTAGTAGACAGAGCACTTGTTTAGCAAGTATGAGGCCATAAGTTTGAACCTCAGAACTACAAAGGGGACTAGGGGATATTTACAGGTGATGTTAGGGAATTTTAAATTAGTATGACCCAGTGTTAAAAAGGTAAAGTTTACAGGAGACTATCTTCCCAAAACGTATAGCCCTTATATACTTAAAACACTACAACTGAATCTTAGCAGATTTTCCCATAACACTTTGCAGTTATCACCTAAGTTGTCCACATGACACTGTAGATTAAATCAGACTCACCATCCAAATATTTGGAATCCATTCACTAGTGCAAGTACAAATTGGGTACCAAAAAGTTATGATCACGAGTTTTAACAAGAAGCTATGGTTGTTTCTAGCATTGTTCTTGGTCTTTGTGCTGTGGTGGTAGAATAGAAAACTAGTCCCCCCTAGTGTCTTATAGGTGGCTGAAAGATGGAAACATTGGGGGAAGCAGCCTCCTGTCTTTAAGCATTGACTTTAAAGAATAGCTCAGTAACAGAGAACCTAGGAGAACCTTGGAGACCTGGAGAAGAATTCTCATGACCTATGAAAGGATTAAACCTTTGATTTTATTTCTAAGGCTCTTCAAGTTCCAAGTTAAAAGCCAAAGGAATCCACATCCTGTCACATCAAAACAATTAGTCCACAATTCAGACCATTTGCAGGCAGTCTGTGCTGACCCAGACTGGAGGGAATTTTTGTTTTAGAAGCCACTCTGTTCTCCTAGGAAAGTTTGCTGCTTTTTTTTTTTTTTTTTTTTTTTTTTTTTTTTTTGACACTCTGGAGAATCCTGATAGCTTCTGCCTTCTGAATGGAATTCAGGCCCCAGCCAGATAAATGTGTGTTCTCAAGCAATTTTCACTAAGGTAAAAAGCATGCTTCAAAACTAAAGGTACACAAGAGATGTGTGAAACCTTCATACAAGTTTTCCTTTAGTCTTTTTTTTCTCCCCTAGTGAGGCCCCAGCACACTGGTGAGTAATTTATTCATGTCACCCATTTGTGAGAGATGAGAAAAGAAACCACTACGTGTCCTTTCCTAATTTAGAACTTTTCCCTATCTTGAGTCTATCAAAGGGATCCTGAGGTGGGAAGGCAGAAGAGGCAAAGGAGGAACATTAGCCTCAGGTGACTGAATCCACAAGAGAATAAGCACTTTGTGTCCCACCTACGCCAGTACAGGCGTCTGCAATTAGGTGATGTGCCACCTCCACCCCGGCCCACCCTACCCCATGTCCTCTTGAAGGGAGAAAGAGTCTGAGTTCTCTCTTGGGACACTTACATAAGACCCTGTAAAACTTCCTGTGATATTCACGGAAAATCTAAGCTGCTATTTTGCTCCCTCGGGAGATCATTTTAATGGACTGAGTGACAAAATTCACGGATTCGAAATTCAGCAGAAACCTACTCAACCGAGGTACATCAGCACAGGAACAGGAGGAAAAAACTGCATCCCCATTAAACAGGGTCACCCAGGGGATGGACTGGGTGTGCAAAAAACAATCTGTTCCCTCAGACGTGACCCATTTAAAAGCACATTGTTTCGAGGAAGTGCATAGGTTTAATAAATCTCACAAAGGCCAAAACATGACTTGTAGAAAGAACTGTGGTTACACATAGGGAGCATTTCAAAGCGATGAACAGCGTAACTCCATGATACACAAACTTTAGTCATCATCCAACCTCCAGAAGCCATGGCATTCACAGGAAGCTCTGGGTAGACCCTGATTACTACAAGAAGTTTAGTATAACAAGAAACATCAGGTGTTTTGGATGGGTCTTCCTCCTGTGGGTATCCACGCCAACCAACCACTAACCTAAAAAAGCTTCTTGCAAAATGTGGATGCACACCCCCAAAGCTCTCTTCAACCAATTGGAAAGAAAGTTCCTGGGACATCCTATCATGAAAGGCAGGTAGGTGAGCAACGCAGAATGTCGGGAAAGGGTCCCAGTGTGGTGGGAATACAACACTTCCAGATGTTAGAGAACACACACACACCCCACCGCACTACTGCCTACCAACATCCTGTCCGCCTATGAGTCTGTCAGAGCCAGACACAGATTCTGGGGACACCGGACATTTAGAGTCTTCCACCTCCTGCTTTTCCAGGACTCAAAGCCAAGTCAAAAACGGTGTGCCCTCCCTCTTCCCCAGCATCCTAAGCACACCGGGTACCAGCCACAGGTTTGGACAACTTGTCCGGCACTGCTCACCAAAGCGCCTCACGAAGAGGTTCTCTAGGGCTCTTACCTTGGCCTCGACTACCCCCAAGCAGAGGAACACTCCGGAAGAGCTGAATGGCGTGGTGACACTGACGCCTACGAAATGGAGGGGGTCCTGATCGGCATCCCAGCAGGTGCTGTTCTAAACCAACCGTCGTTCCCAAGCGCAGACTTCGGGGCAGCCTTAGGCTCCAAATGCTACAGCAAAGGTCCGTAGCCCCACTAAGCACTAATCCCCTCTTTCTCCTCCTCCTGGAGCTGTTTCACTCCAGGTCTCTACCAAGCCCCGAGCGACTCGCATGGGCAAGGGACTGGGGCTGCCCTGGGTTGGGTCCCCGGAACCAAGCCCAGGAAGAAACGCTGAGCGGCCGCCCGCCCTAGCAGCTCCACCTCCCGCGCTCCTGGCCGCTTAGTCCCTTCAGGGCAGGGCCTGCCTGCAACCCGCCCGGCGAGGCGAATGCGGCCGCGCCCCCGGCTTCAGGCGCCCCGACTTAGGAGCAGCAGCGAGGCAGGAGGCAGTTCAGCGGGCCCCGGTGCCGAGCGCAGCGAGCGAGTGCAAGGACTAGCGGTATCGGCTCGCCGTGACCCTCTCCCCGGGCCTGCGCGCCCGCCTGCGGCTCCACGGGAAGCGGGCGCTGGAAAGGGCCTCGCCCTGGCCTGGGGCGAGGGACCGGGGCTTGGGGCCGAGGTAAGCGCCCGTTGGAAGGTCACGGCCACCGGGGCGCGGCGAGCGGGACGCAGCACTGTGGGTGCGGGGAACCCGGGCAGGCGGCCGTCGCCACCGCCGTCGCCACCTCCGAGACGCGCCGGCTTCCCGGAGCGCTAAGGCTTGAAGCCGCGCGTCCGCTGCAGCCGCCGTGGGCAGCCTGGAGCCGCAAGCCTAGGGAGCGCGATCCCCGCTTCCCGCGCGCGGCCGAGCGGGAACCTCTGTGCGGGGACCCGCGTGGGAGCGCGCGGGCGGGCGCTGGGGTGCGAGCTCCCGGATAGTCCAGCGGCCGCCGCGTGCCTAGAGCGTCGGGCTTGCTCAGCAGCTGCAGTGACTGTGTGTCTGTGTCATGTCTGTGCTGCTGGGGGGGTTCAATCCGGGACCGGGTTCCGAGCAGGGGCGGGACCGGAGCCTGCCTCGGGGCCCCGGGGCCCCGCCCCCATCCCCGTGACCGCACTGGCGACCAATGGACAGCACCAGGAATGAGCGTCTGGAGGGTCCGCCCTACCTAGGCTCCGCCCACGGCCAAGCGCCTCCCACCGCTCCTTGGCTCACTGGAACGCAGGAGGAAGCAACACCCGGAGCAGGGATCCCGGGCCGGGTCGCCGGGAAAGGGTGCTAGCTGGAGCTCCCGGCCCTTCTTCCCCCACTCGGGCTGTTCCTGGCTGCTCCGGGATTGGAGGAAAGAGGGGGAAGGGAGGCGGGCCGGATGCGCAGCTGCTGCTGTAGGGATGTCTGCCGGGAGCGTTACCGTGCCATCCCTTTTATAAAACAGCGGTCTTTGGGAAGTAGGAAGTTTCCTTTTCCTTTTTCTTCTGCTGCGGACACGGCTCTCCCCTAGGTGGACAGGGTATGGGGCAGCTGGAGATGCGAAAAGTCTCTGCTGAAGGTGTTGACAACATGTTTGGATTCTGAATCCAAGAATCCTGTGCAAGACTGTTTTATTTTTCCCCCTGGGGGAACTATATTTTTGTGTCTTCCCCAATATATACATACACACAGAGATGTGCCCCCTTTCTAATTTTATCCTTGCTCAAAATGCCGTGTGTAACACCCCACTGGAGGGACTTCCAGCCTCCGGGTGTTAATGATGAGGGTGGGAATGCCGAGAGTCCGCCGATGTAGCGGAAGGAGTGTGTGGATTTGGTTACGGTAAAGGGGAGTGGATATCCCTCGGGAGAAAACCCCATGAGGCTGAAGCAGAGTCTGGGAGAGAAAGAGGACCCCGGCGTATAGACAACTCCGACTGGAAAACCGAGCTCCGAGAGCGCGATCCAGCTACCGGGTTTTCCCCTCAACTCGGTCCCAGGGCTTCTAGGGTCCCCTTCCCTGGAGTCCTCACCTCTTCCCAACCCTGCTAGCTACTGAGTCTCTGCTTTCCCCCGTGCTTCTTTCCACAGGCAGCCCACCTACTTTCTTTTAAGGGCTAGGAAGGATGGAGAGTGGAGGGGTAGAAAAGACCGCCTAGCTCGGGAATCCTCGATGACCATCCTACCCGAGGTGGGGCACCGATCTACCCTGGGATTCAGGGATCCAGCACCTCTCTGATCCCACACCCGCCATCCCCAGCTCTTGGCCTTTGTACCTACTGTATGTACCCTTGGGCCGTCCTTTGATCCAGTCGACACTCTTCCCCCCCACGACACTCTTCCAGGGTTCCCTCCAGACTCTAGAAGCCAAGACCCGGTTCCCAATGCTGTTTACCTATCAGTGGTAACCCCAGTCGAGGAGGAGTCGAAAGCGGTTGCACAGTGAAGTCCATGGCGAAAAAGTAAAAAAAAAAAAAACCTTTGTTTTGGAGCTTCGGGATAGTTAACTGCGATGACGCCCCCCCCCCCCCGATGTCTTATCTCTGCCGGGATGAGTCTCACCATGAGAAATAGTGGATCGTATCTAGTGTTGATGCCATTATTGTGTCGGAGAAGAACATTGTATGATAAAGATTATCTAATAACCTAGATGCCATTAAAGTGTCCAAGTTTGATGTCAAGCCTTGTAGCTCGAAGGCAGCTCAGTGCTTCCTCAGACGTACAGCTTTGTCCTAGAACTCCCAGAAAACAAGGGGATTTTTGTTTGTTTGTCTGTTTGTTTTGTTTTTTTGCAAAGCACCGCTCCTTCCTACTCTCTTTCTCCACCCCCACACCAGCTCTCGTCTTGGAACTGGGTAGTTAAAGAAGGAATTTGTGCTTTCTTTTTATTTATTGCCTCACTTCACTTCATTAATGGTGTAAAAGTCTATTATTACAATACATTAGCATGTTAATAAGGGGAAGGGAAGAGAGTCTTGGAATTTGCAAGCAAAGAAGAAAATAATTGAATTAACACCAGAAATGCAAAGATGAAGAATGTGGGAAACATCTCCTTTGTAATAACACAAGGATGGTACCTTGTCTAGATCTTTGAAATGCATGAGCAGAATGGGAGGAGAGAGCAATGTTCACTGGGATCACTGAGGTTTCATAGTTACTAGGGGTTTCATGAAGTTGGCTAACATGGGTCAGTAAGCTCCTTAGATGCTGAAAAGCTTCCCCATCAACTCAAGGTTCCAGTTGTACACCAGCACGGTATGTACTGGGCTAAAGGGGTAGTTTATTAGACTCTTCGATCCCACAGACAGCACTGGTAGGTTCCTATCATAAGAAGTCCCATATTTTAATTTTTTTTCCTTTGGAAAACTATTAAGCTTTTAAATCTCCCAGTCTAAGCACCTGTGTCTGTGTGTGTGTGTGTGTGTGTGTGTGTGTGTGTGTGTGTCCTGAAGTTGGAAATGATTGCCTAAGAATCATAGGTCTTTGACACAAACCAAGATATCAATGTAAAAAAAAAAATTGATTTTGACTATGACATAATGTAGTGTGAGGAATGCAGTAAAGAAATATACCTGTTATTTCTAAAGAATCAGTTCAGGTTTTCTAAAAACTAAGAAACAGGAAAGTATTGTACCCTCTAAACCAACTGCTATTTATCCTCACACCACCATTGCAACTGTCACTGAAAAGTCTCTCTGTCTCTCTCTGTCTCTGTCTGTCTGTCTGTCTCTCTCTCTCTCTCTCTCTCTCACACACACACACACACACACACACACACACACACACACACACACAATCTATCCTTTCTTCTGTCTTCTTTTTTCTCTTTGTTGGGGTCATACAGAACCAATCTTAAGAAACCGGGGGTCTTAAAACAGCCACTAGGGGGCCCTAAAGGCACCTCAGACTCTCTCACCTCCCTGGTTTCTGCCCTCCTTTTCTGAGTACCTATTGCAACTGGGACCTAAAGAGAAGTAAAGAATGAATATGGTATGGAGATATATCAGGCCTTTGACTTGGGAATCAAGAATTAGTTTCTATCTTTTCTGACATCTGACACTTTCACTCTTCTGCAAAATGAATTTTGCATCCATAGAGGGCAGCATCTCAAAGTCAAAGAGTATACCTAACAACTTGCATATCAACTCACCCACCAATGGAAATCAAGCCAGTTTTAGAGCCTTAGAACATAGGCCTGGTTTTGTGTGGTGTGGTGTGGAGTGGTGTGGCGTGTGTGTGTGTGTGTGTGTGTGTGTGTGTGTGTGTGTGTGTGTGTGTGTAGAGATCAAATGTTCATGTTGGGTATCTTCCCCATTGTATTTCTATCTTATTTTTCGAGAAAGTCTCTCACTGAACCTGGAGTTCACTGATTCAGCTAGACTGGTCAGAAAGCCACAGAAAGCCTCCTCCACCCACTTCCTTAACCTTAGGATGACAGACACACACTACCATGCCAGCTTTTTATATGGGTTCTAGGAATTCTAACTCCAATCCTCATGTGTGCAGGGCAAGTCCTTTACCACATTGAGCCATCTCTCCAGCCCCACCTTGGAGGCTGGGTTCCAGAGAGTTAGTGATGGCATTAGTAGGGTACTGGTGCTGTAGGAAGGATGAAGACAACTAATGCTTGAATACAGAGGAAATGATTCAGGTTGGAGATGGTAGCAGGGGACACTGACCATTCAGCAGGGAAAAGTTTCAATATCTCAATAATGTTGCATTTGTCAAAAACAACTAAATATTAGGTACTCTTGGTAGGTTGTCTAACACTTAAAAATGTTCAGGTTTTCAGAATCCTTAGCAGTCACATAATCTGTCCCCCATCTTACCACTAAGTATGGTTAAGATGTCCTTAGCTCAGGCTAGAGAAGCAGAATTACTCTCCAACCAATACTGGAGAAATAAATATCTGTAAACAATATTCTATCTAGACATGTTTCAAGTGAAAATTTAATCACCAGGCATGAAACATTCCTCTGTCATTCTGGCCAATAATCAAAAGACATTCCTAGGCAAAGCAAAATGCACCCATCAGGGAGACACAGGGAAGAAGCCACTTGGTGAAAAATTAAAGAATGTTATAAAAGCCATCAAATTAACACTAATGGAAGTGTGATTTGAACATAATTTAACTGAAAACAAAGCAAGTCCAGAAGTGAGACATGAAATAGGGAATGAGGATAAAGTCTGTGTGAGATGAAAAAATATTTTATGTTCTTGTCATCATGTTCATTAAGCAGGCTGGATACAGGTGATCTCAAAATAGCATTATTAACTTCTGGAAGATTTGCTTCCTCAAACCTCAGAGCCTGATCATTAGAATGGATTTGTCTCTAGATGGTGGATTCCATTGTCTGCAGGAGTAAGGATGTATCTACTCATTGGCTGTGAGAGGCCATCAGAGTCAAACCTTGTCCGGGAGATAGCTCCCTAGACACCTTGAGAAAAAACAGAAAAGGAAAGTCACAGCCCTCTTTGGACAGAAGGATACTTTGGTGCTAAAGAGGTCAACAAAAAAAGCAAATCAAAAATTTCTTCTCAGGTCCTGGTAAGGGGGTACTTCAAGCTAGTGTGACATAAGACCCCAAGACAGAAATATAAAATGTAAACATGTTCTGGAAATAACAGGGATGTATAGCTTTTGGAGTTTGTGAGTTAAAAGGGTGGAAATGACTCAGTGGGCATGTTTACAGCCCCCGCTCCCTACCTCCTTTACTTGCTTAAAAAAAAAATCCAAAAACCTGCAGAGTGAGATCACCTGCTGAGTGTGGGCTGGAGTCTGAGGTTCTGCTTTCTAAGCAGAGCTGTCCACAGACCAC